AGTATTTAGCATGTTACTTGAAATATATTTTTGGGGGACAAAGTTTGAGTAAAAAGTTTTCAGATATTTACGACGCGTCTCTTTTAACACATACATCTATTATGCTGACTGATTTTAGTCAATCATACTGCGCGAAATAATATATCTTCTTGTATTTCGTTCGTTTTCGTAATACGTCTGACTCCCTACTGTTTATTTTCAGTGAGAAATGTTTCGATTATAATCGAAATAGTTTTCATTAGGTTGTCATTAAACGATGTATTGAAATATTTCGTAGGTACGTATTACATTTTTCTTCTTTTCATTATTAATCGATCTAAAACGATTGGTTGGACAATTTAATATGAAAGAAATGAATTGCTAAGAAATGTCGCAAAGCTCGAAATAAGAAATGACTATGCATTGTAAAAAGTATATTAATCATGATAGGTGCACAAGACACTTCAGACTAGTTAAGTCACTTGTCTTCAAGCATTATTCAATTTTGAGTTAAAGAAACTAGCATCTTTCTGCTATTTAGACTATTTGAAATAACGTCAATCTTTTGGAAAGCTATGGTTTCATGTCACGAGACGCATTACATATTGAATACTGTTGGATTGGATGTTTGAATTCACGTATTGTCTATATTTTATGCTTTTTCTGTTTTACGGACTAGCCTGGATGTGTATACAGGACATTTCTTGTCATGATAACTAGTCATGACAGATATGAAGGACACTTCAAACTAGGCCTGATGGATATTTCTGATTTTTCGGACCAATCAAATTATCCGTCTTTACTGGTTTTTAGTTTACTCAAGAAGTTGAATTTCAAATCAACACAGCCACTCTTTCAATGCAAGTGTCGCAGAAATGTAGATGATTGAAAATAAAAACTTGAAGAGTAGATTTTCAATTGAACTCAACTTTCAAGTTTAATACAATTAGTGCAGATGTGAATGAAGATAAAGTACATGAGAATAGTGAGATTATTTAATAAATACTTTTTCGTAGAGAAGAAAAAATCCTTGACTGTGAATGATAACAATGTTTTTTCATTCTGCGTAGAGAAGATCGGAAGAAAATAGTAACTAACACAAGATAATGAAAAACATTTCTGTTTTTCTTGTTTTTTCACACTATCTCGACGGAGGAGGCAAAAAAAATTATAAAAACCTATTGTTTCATGAACTTTTACTTGCTTTCTTTAATAATAGCATAAACATTTTCCAGAAAAAGAAAAGACAAAATACTGTGGTTAAGTGATTGTTTTCATTTTTTTTCAGAGAAACGAAGAAGAGAAAATCATGTATTTAATTGTTCCAGCTTAGTTGTACACTTGCATTATAAATAGAAATAGTTTCTGACAAGCCATCATTTATGCCTTACATCTATATGGCTACATTAATAAAGTTGTATTCTCAAAAAGTTGTTGACGAGTTTTAAAAAAAAGACATTTTAATTCTCTATACTTGCAGTAGAAGTGATTTTGAAATATAGAAACACAAACATTTAGAGTAATTCTAGTTTACTGTGATACGTGAGCAAGTACAGGAGAATACGAGGCAACCGATGCTGAAGCTCGAACTGCTGGGCATGGTAATAGTACGGGGATCGAAGTTTCCTATCTAGTGTCTTGCAGAGTTGTTTTGAAAGTTCAAATGAGTCTGACTCTTAAACAGTTGCATATGTGGATAAATCTTGACTGCGATTGTGATCCGCACGTTGGACTTCATAAACTAGTATATATTACATGGAAAACGGAAACTAACACTTGGAGACCTTCCCACATTGGATAATGAATTTAGCTGTCTGACTTGACTAGGTGGGGAGTTGTTACTTATTCACATAATGTGAGCTCGCAAGCGATCTGATACTCTAAGAGTCCTACGTCCGCATATATATGCACTTTAATAAGCTGACCAATTTCTTTGTGTAGATCTCCAGATACTATTCAGCAATGAGCACGGAATACTTCTCTAGAGAGAAGTCCATCTATTCAACAAATACTATCAGCATCGAATTCTGCTAAATCAGTGCAAGGCAACTCAAACATAAGTGGTCAATCCATTTCTCCAAAAGAAACTATCTTTAGAAGCCGAAGCAAGGAAGACCTTTTCACGATCAACACGACAAGTGATTATTTGTTGTTGTCTTCACACTGTTTTCTGAGACGGATGGTAGATCTTTTTTGGAATGATTAGTCTTTTTGGAATTTTAGAACCAGGCTCTCTGAATGACGATCTCGATTTGATACTATCAGAATGCGACGAAGCCCTCAAATTGGCGAATGCATTCCAACAAAACTGGCATCAATCGCTCGGTATCAGAACAGATGTTCAATGTCTTGTAGATGCAATATCTATCGCTAAGAATTTGATTCTATATGTACCATCACGCTATAGCCGACTCAGTTCAACGAGCATGCAAAAACTCAGCACAAACATGTTGCAGATCCATATTAACCTTCGTGAAATAGTTAACTATTTGAAAAATCTACACCCAAGCTGCAACGTTGAAAACCAAACTTCCACCTTGGCTTCTATAGAGTCCATTGTTCCTTTTCGCCGTCAACAAGATTTCTATAGATTAGGCCTTCCATGTCTGTTTTCATAATGGATAGGAGAAGAGCAAGAATCATTCATTTTGAGACTCGTTTACTTTGCGCTTTATCAAACTGAGCCGCTGTGACAGTGATAAAATTTCACTCAACAGCCATGCAAACATTTAGTAAGTTCTTCGTATTCAAAAATATGGCTAGGAGAAAGCCAACAAATCATAGCTGTGAAAATTGAGATGATTGATCAACTAAGTAAATAAAAGCCGGAAACACTATTACATGAGTTCTGTTTGAAAAGTAATAGTTTTGATTTTTCAAAAATTCAATTGCTTTTGCTTTTCGAAGAGCATCATTTTGAATAATCATTAATAATGAACAATTTATGTAGTAGTTTTCAAATCTAAATCTATTTGTCTCCTTAATACAGGAATTTTCGACTCTATTCGGTCATTTTCAATCAAAAACAGGACAAAATAAGAGAAAAACAAAAAAAGATGAAAAAATAATCGAATATCTTGAACAATAACATCATAACCTATGTAATTCAAAATCATAGACATTGCACAATATAATAGATTATATAAATAGATCATGTATAGCACAATGTATAATGCTAAAACTTAATATCATAAACAAGTACTCAAGCTTTATATTGTACTTTTATCTAATAATTTATTGACTTAAATCTCAAGATTATACATTTTAATTGAATAATCATTATCAACATGGCCACTCTTGGCGACAAAAACATTTTGAGAAACTTTTCTGAATTGTTTGCAGAATTATTTTCATTCCGAAAAGAGTACAAGACAAAGTCGAATTTTTTATTAGTTTAAAAAAGTTTTCGCTTAACAAAAATTGTTTTGACTTTTATATGAATCGATAGAGTTTTTTCTAAGTCCTAACATTTTTGCATGAAACGACAAGATTTCGGTAAACTTCAGATTTAGAGAAGAAATTGACACTAGCTTTGATGCGTAATTTCTGTTTCATTTCGCTTCCTAATCATGTCCACCTCGCAACAATCTTGGATTCAATGAATATTTTTCACGAACAAATGAAACAAGAGATTTGGCGTTTGCTCTCTGAAAATATCAGAGTTTTGGGTTCATACACCTTTAAGATTTTATTAATTCAACTCATCAATATAGATGTGACATAAAAACACGAACCCAAAAGATATTGAATATTTATTCTTCATTTTCCGCGGGACAAACATCTGCATGGTCCTGCAAATGGACAGATGCACGTACCCCTACCAAGACATGATGCATCACCCCACCCATGGCATGTTGCTTGTGGCCAAATTATAGACTCATCTATAGGCCCAGCTTGAACCAGCATTGTATAACAACTAATGATGAATACCACCATTATTGTAAGTAAAACTAATTTTGTGGAAGCCATTATGTTAGATTTCGATGTTGTTAAGAAAATAAAACTATGCAAGTGATTGCTTTGTGGATAGCTGCTTCGTCTTTTATTGATTTGAAAAGGAGAAGACAACTGATTTTGTTCTCATAAGCACATCCACTTTTTATGATAAGATAAGAAAGGAAACATTACTATTAAGTTTTCGATTTTGATTAGTTACAATCATGTAAAACACTTTAGAATGGCGTGAGCTATCAGTCCTCTGCAATAGAAACAGAAGGAATGGATTTTTATAAAATCAATCGTAAGCGGGTAGATGGTAGTCATTGCACACAGATGCAAAGATTTCACATAGTCTATTATCCAGCGAAAGCGCATCATAACATGTTTGCTAGCGTAGAATAAGAATACATTTTATTTTGTCTGCGAATAGCTGAAAAACGTGCCATGCAAAGAGGGTGTCGGTGTGGATCTCAGTCCGGGTCTGGGTGTTGATATTCTCTTCGTTCATACCTACACCCACCCACATCCTCACACCCCACACCCACACTCCACATCACCCACACTCACACCCACTTCCATCACCCACCAGGTATGGTCGAAAAGAGGAGGGTGGATACTCTTAATTGACACAGAATAGTAGAGGCCGAGAATATTTCTGGACAGAGGCATACATGTACAATAGATCATGAGACAACTGAAGATATTCAATCATGAAACGAATATGATCATGATGATGAGCAGAGTCACTTATATGTTTGAGAAAGAAATCCGAGACGAAGAGTTTCGAAACCCTATTGTTGATGGATTTCTGAAGATCTTCTGCTCAAAATCCAAACAGAGACTAGAAAAATCTGTAAATTCCAGAGTTTACAGAGTAACCACTGAGAACACATCTGATCACGAAAAAAAAAACCAGTCATTGATTTCCCATAAATTCTCTTAAACTTGTTTGAAAACTTTTTGAAGTATTCTGTTTTTCAAATAGGTTTCTGCTTCACCCATCTTCTGTCTGTAAGAATGAAAACTCAAATTTCAAAGCTATCAGCGTTTGCCGAGTTATTAAAGTAACAATCGACTACATTCTATTTTGAAGTGGACGATAATTTATTCTCATTGTCAATATCAGCAAGTAATTGATTTTGTTGAGTAAGTAATTCTGTTGGCGTTCCATATTGTTCAATGATACCATCATTCATAACAACAATTTTATCGCTTTTCATTACTGTATTCAGACGATGTGCAATTGTTAATATCGTTTGATCGATAAATTTTTCATGTAAAATTTGTTGAATTAATTGATCAGTTTTTGTGTCAACATGTGCTGTTGCTTCATCGATTAGTAAAATTTTACTTTGTTTAAGAATTGCTCTTGCTATACATATTAATTGACATTCACCAACACTAAAATTACTTCCATATTCTGCTACTTGTATATTTAATTTATCTTTTAATTTATCAATCTTTGTTTTTAATTGAACAGCTTCTAATGCGTTCCATAATTGTTCATCAGTATAATGTCCAAATGGATCTAGATTATATCGAAGTGTATTACTGAATAATATTGGAGACTGTGGGATAATATTTAAAATTGATCGTAAATCGTTCAGACTAATTTTACTAATATCAATTCCATCAATAAAAATCTTCCCATCTATTGTTGATTTATCAGTTAATCGAAATAGTGCTTGAAAAATAGACGATTTACCAGCACCTGTACGTCCAATAATACCAATTTTATTCCGTGGAAGAATTTCTAAATTAATACCTTTTAATACAGGTTCAAGTTCAGGACGATATCTTAACTTATAATTTTCGAATTGGATTCTTCCTTCGAATGGCCAATTAACTGGTGGTTCTGATTCTTCTTTGTAAAAACCTGCTTCTGAAGGAATGTGAGAATATTCATCAATTCTTTCTGCACTAGTCATAAAATTTTCAGTTTCAGCCGACTGACGTACTCCCCATTGAAAAAGAGTAGTTAAACTTATACAGTACGATAGAGCCAATGCTACAGATGAAGGATCCATACTTTTACGTAAAGCAACACATAAAGTTGCGGTTAGAAATGTTAAACAACAAGTCATTAAGTCTAATCTAAAACCAAACCATCTACCTGAACAAGTAAATATAAAAAATGCGCGCGTATTTGCATTAATTTTATCAATAAATAGATTTACAAAATCATTTTCCATATTAAATGCTCTGATAGTCATTAATCCACTTAATGATGAAGAAAATAATGCATAAATAGGACTTCTAGTTACACTATCTATTCGTTTAACAGCTGTACTTGTTTTTAAATAAAATCTTCTTAACCATAGAAATATTGGAATAATGAGTATTAATATTAATAAAATCCATGGATTTGTCATACCAATAATAACAATACTACCTAATACCATTAGTAATATTTGAATTGTATCAAAAAATGTTGCTGGTAATAATTCATCAACAACTTGTTGATCTTTACTAAATCTATTTAATACACGACCAACTGGATTACTTTCATAAAATCTTAATGAACTATATAAAACACCTTTAAGCATACTATTATGTAATGCAGATGCACCACGTAATATCAAATGGAAAAAATAATTAGCACGACTTAATCCAATTATCCACGTACCAATTACCAATCCTAAGTATATATATGGATAATGATTTTTGCGTTGTTCTATGTGTATCTTTGATGACCATAAACTTAACCATTTATTAGTTGCATCATAAACACCTTCACCTAATAACATTAAAAAAAACAATAACAATAATCCAATCCAGCCATAACCAGAAGTAAATAGTTTCAACCAAACATCAATGCTGACTTTCCCACTAATAGATGTTTCTTCTTGAACAATACTAGTTTCATTATTATCTTCAGGTAGATTAGTCGTATCATAATAAGAAATAATACTATCGTTTCGTTTTCTAATATCTCTTGTTTCATCTGTATGATATTGTTGATTTTCATAGGATTCTTTTATTTTATCTATTGTTAATAAATCATTATAGAAACCTTGTTTTTCTATTTGACCATCATGTAATAAAATACAATGATCAAATTCTGATAAAAATTGTATTTGATGTGTAACTAATAATCGAGTTTTATTATTCAAAATACCTTCATTACTAATGCATTGTTTAAAAATTTTTCTGGCAACTGTAAGATCAACTGCTGCTAATGGATCATCAAATAAATAAATATCAGCTTCGGTATATACAGCTCGAGCAAGTGTAAGACGAGCTTTTTGTCCTCCACTTAAATTTACTCCTTTTTCACCAATTACTGTTAAATCACCAGCGGACAATGATCGTAAATCAGCATTTAATTGACATGATTTCAATACACGTTCATATTTCTCTTTATCAAAGGATTTACCAAACAATATGTTTTCACGTATGGTACCAGCAAATATCCATGGTGTTTGAGGTACATATGAAGTTTTACCATATATCTTACTACTACCTTGAACAAGAGACATTTCACCGAGTATAGCAGCCAAAAGGGACGATTTACACGAGCCAATTGTTCCTATAATACCAACTAATGAACCATTATTTACCTTTAAATCAATGTCAATTAATTCAATTGTTTGAGTAGAACCCCATGTAAATGAGGCTCTATCCATTACTATAGTGCCTGGTATTCGATCATGGTCGCTGACAGATTTTTCTTGGTACGTTTTTCTACGAGTCTGCTTAGATAAATTCATGAATTGATTAATGCGATTTGAAGCTATGGTACTTTCACTTAATTTTTCAATAGCAAAAGGTAAGTTAGCTGTTAATGGATATCTTACCATACCAAACAGTGATAAAATCGTGAATATAGTCGCAGGAGATAGTGTTTGATTCATCAACCAGCTTCCACCAAATGTAGCTAACGAAATTAATGATATTGATGAAAAATACATTCCCATATTAATTGCTCGAATTCGACTTGCTTTTTGAATACTTCTAAGCTCATTTTTTCTTGTATTATAAACAAGAGCTTCCAATGCTTCTTCCCATCTATACATTTTAACAATTTGACAACCAACGAAGATTTCATTAATAATTTTTACACGTTTATCGGTCCATTGTACGGTTTCTTTTCTAAATGTTGCAAATTTTTTACTAAAAAATACTTGCAATGGTACTAAAAGTAACAATACACCGTAACCGAATAAAGTCGGAATACCAATTTCATTCCAAATTAAACCAAAGACAATGATTGCTTCTAATGGTGCTGCCCATATATGATGTATAATAGTAGTTAATTCTTCAAATTTACTAACATCATTAGAAATTAAATTTATCACATGACCTGTAGTTGTTTTAATAATTGCTGTCATTGGCAATGACAATAGTCTTTTATAAATAAAAGATGAAAGTGCAATGCGTATATGCATCCCAGTTCGTATTATACGAAGAAAAAATTGATGATGGAGGATTGATTGGAAAATTGCCGCAAGTACTAATCCAATGGCATATACATAGCCAATGTATGAAGCTGCATTTAAATCATTAATATGAAGAACGATTTGCTTTAAAAGTAGAGGTTGAGCTAGTTTTGTACCAATATATGGAAGTAAAATTAAACCGGCTATTAGACACTCTTGCCAAAATGTTTTTACGATTATTTTCCATATAGTAATATATCCATATTTATTTTCATTTTTTTCCCATACTCTTTCAAGTCTATTCAATAATTGACTGCATTCATCATTTGGTGATACTTCAAATAAATCATCTTCAGTTAGTTGACGTTTATAACCAATATTTAAAATTGGATTTAACCACCACCAAAATACGACATAAATCCATCGTATCCAGGATGATTCAGCCCAGTCTAAACCACAAGGCTTCCGATTGCTAGTGGGTATTTGAACAGAAATCTCCTTGGTATTTATTATTGGTGGTATCTTATTATTGGCGATTCGCAGATTACTGTTATCTGTCATATCCTTGTTTGTCAGAATGTAAAAAATAGCGTCTACAATATATCAGTTACAATAATTAAAATATATAATGAAAGTTATAAGATGTTCCTCCAATTGAAAAAAGGGTTTATGATCTTCCTGATTAGAGCGCTCCTAAAAGATATAAAAGAGAGGCTCAAATTAGGGATACAACGGGGACGGTACACCATTTGTCTTCTCACTAGTCCACCGTCTCCGGTACATCTCTAACTTCAATGTTGCAGAGAGAGACTATTTGAACAGACGTTCACAATTGTTGATACTTCTTATAATACTTTTATGATTTTTACTGGTATACAGAATATGAATCTGTGATGTCTAGAGGTATCGAACCAATTCCGATTTTTGTTCTATGAGAGCGGATTCGGGACCACTTTATAGGAGTTTCAAAGGAATAGAATCAGTTTTAGAAAATCAGTCAGTTTTTCAGAAATAACTTGGATCAAAACTATTTTCTTTAAATTCTATTAGAAAAGAATCGAGAACAAATTTTTGAAAAATATCTACATAGATAAATGATAAGTTTGCATATGTCTATTAACCGCCGATATACTTTGGCACTATCATTTGTAATATGCCATTATTCATCTTCTTTTTACTTGCAGAGATTCGAAAAATTTTAGATTTTTGTTAAAATGAACTCAGCTTTCAAGGGGTTAATCGTTAACAGACTTATACTTTATGAGATATCGTTAGTTTTACTACTTTGTTTTGATATTTATTTGTTAAATTTACAAATTAAGGCTCCTTCTCTTTTAAAAAAAGTTCATTTTCGCCAAAAACATCAAATTGAAGATAAATGCATGGATAGATAGCCTGTCGGCAGATCTTCCACAAACAACATGAATTTTCTTTTGGCGCTGTTTTTTTCGGAAAAACTTTGATGATTCCCCCAAGTGCTTCTCGAAAAATAGGCTTTTTTCGTTTTTTTCTCGGTTTGAACTTGTGAATCCTTTTTTTCTCCGCTGAAAACGTAAGAATTTAAGTAAAAGAACTCTGTGCTATACTGCATCCTAACATGATTCTTCAAACAAAAAAAAATAAATATATAGAATGAGCCTGGACAGAGACATTGGTTTTGCCAAATCAGCTATTTTTGACCCTTTTTTGGTGAATATCTTACTCAAA